CAAGCTGTGGCTCATTATCACCGCCGTGGGTTGGGCCCTGGGCAGTTCTACTAGGTGCAGAGGGTGAAGGAGGCAGGTGGCCAGATGGATAGAAACTGAGGGAGCCACTCGTCCCTGGGCAGCAGCGTGGCTGTGCCGAGTTTGGGTGGAGAGGGGAGGAAATGCACCGAGTCATCTCTGTACGCCCCAAATGAAACACACAGAGCAGAATGAGCAAACAGTTTACAAAGGACTCCGCACTCACTACTGACATCTGCTAAGATTTTCTGGACCATCCAAAAATCAACTAGTTGAAAGACAAAGCTGAGTCTGAACATGGGAAGGATACTAGGCTGGAAGTCAAAATGGTAGATGTTCAGTGCTGTCAGTTGTGAATGTCTGACCACGAACAACCCTTCACTTCTGTGGGCCTCAATTTCTTCATCTGTGAAATGGGGCTATTTGGCTTGGTCTGCCTGCCCCGTAAGACGCCGCCCATTCAGAAAGGTCCGGTGGCACTGGGAGCCCCAGAGCGAGCTTGCATGGATATGGCGCTCCATGAGGTGGCCGTGGCCAGAGGTTGTCAGCCTCAGGGTGACCCTGTGGGGACCCAGACATATTGCTCAGGGCAGCAAATGCAGTTAGAAGTGCTGCCCAGTGTTAGATACGACGGGCTAGGTAAGGAAAGGCATAAGATGTACACAAGGCCCTCCCTGGTGGCGCAGCGGGTTAAAGCACAGCACTAAGAAGCTTAAGCCACTTCCACGTGAGTTCAATCCCAGCCTGCCCCCGGAGGTGACCACATGGCGCGGCAGACCTCTCCTGACCCGCCCGCTGCTCCCCTCAGCAGTGTACTTCGTCGATCTGCCTGTTCTGCTCTCCAGAACTCTGGTGAAGCCTCTCACCGCCCCTGTGCCTCTGGCCTGTACCCCAGTTTTGTATGCACAAATAAATAAATCTTTTTAAAAAAATGTACACAGGGGAGGACACAACAGGAGGGCGAAGGCAGGGCAAGCTCATCACAAACTGAGTCTGAGAACAAGCAGCGTCCCGGTGCCAAGTAACAGTCGCCTGCTGAACATGGACTATCTGCCAGGTGCTGGCCAGGTGTTGCCGTGATAGTCCTCACGTCCCTGAGTGACTTGTTATTCCCATTTCACACATTGGGAAACTAAAGCACAGAGGCTGAAGGGATTCTAACACATGACGAAGCTGTCCACCAGCCCAGTCACTGCCGGCATACAGGGTGGTGACAGGGACCTAGAGACTCGAGAATATATTTAAAAGTACTGTGTGGAAGGGGAAGTGCTGAGAAGCTGTGGCCTGGTGTGAGATCCTGACACCATTCACCTAACTTGTCAGCCTCTAGGTTCCCACCCCCCCCCCCCGCCACCCCATGAATGGTGTGTTGGAGGACCATGGCTAAGAACCGCCTTTCCTCCTGGGGATTGGACTCTCTCCCAGGAGGTCTTTAGGGGCCGTGAAGGAAGGTAGCTGCACAGGTTCCATCTGCAGGCTTCCTCGGTCAAATTCAGCCCAGATTTGGGGAACCCTGGGCCTCCAGGGTGGACAGCAGAGCCCCCAAGTCTGGGAGCTGAATGCTGACGCTGCCCTTGATCACAGCATTTCAGAGGCCCCAAGGCTTCCTGGAATTCTCCACACAGGTACAGTGACCCCCAGGAGGGTTAGGTGTGAGCAGTAGAGATCCCAAGACAGGAAGCAGAAAGGGGCAGGGTTGGGGTGGCAGGTTGCAGTGAAATCAAAGGGCCAATAGTGGGGCGGGAGGGGGAAGGAGGCTGAGAAAGGGGGGGTCTCAGGGAGGACAGGCAGTGTGTCTCAGTGCCGAGCAGATCCAGGTGGGCTTCAGTCGGAATGCCCAGGCATCATGCAGCTTCTGGTGGAAGGGTGCTCCCAAACTAGTTTCCTGGGGAGGATTTGAAGGCACTGGAATGGACAGAGGGACATACAGAAATGCCCTGGGGTGTGCCGGGGAGGGGTAAACACCACGATACAGCGAGAGCGCGTGCAGGCAGATGGCTTGGGAACAAGGGGTTCACGGCCCTGTGACGAGGGCACAGCAGGGTCCAGAAGGGACAAGGGGAGCAGGGACAGCAGATGGGGGAGCAGGGCCCGGGAGAGCCGGGGTTCAGGGAAGGGTGGAAGCAGCAGGCGTCTTTACTCCTTGGCAGCAGAACAAGCAAAGCTGACCCTTCGGCCACACTTCTCCGCTGGTGCTGGGGCCTGGGTGGGTCTCCGTGGTGGGAATGGGCTTAATTGCAGGGGAAAAATTCCAGCTGGGTGGGTGGAAAGTCACTCAGGAAAAATGTGAGAAAGTAGCAGGTTTGCGTCAAGAAAAACGGGTGAGGGTTAGCAGGCGGATGACGCGCTAGAGCAGCTAGGAAGCCGGCTGATGAAGGGCTCCTGTGAGAGGGGGGGAGTCGGGGTGCCCACTCCAGGCCGCGCTGGAGGCAAAGCTTCTGGCCTTGTGAAGACTGGGGAGAGCACGGGCTGGGTGCTCACGGTGTGGGGTCAGCCTGACCGCAGAATCATCCAGAGTCTGGTCACCAGAACCTGGACTCCAGGGCAGCATGGCTCCACGCGTTTGATCAGGTTGCTGAGCTCTCCGAGGTCGGTGAAGCCCAGGACCGGGAAGGAGCCTGCAGGAGTCCAGCCGCGCCAGGCCAGCGTAATGGGAGCTCAAACAGCTACACACAGGTGGCTGTCCAAACAGACCTGAAGTCTCTGCTCCTGGCCCCGGGGATGGGGCAGAGGGCAGTACTTAGGAGATACCTGGGCACTTACAGCCCTCGGCTGCTTTTCCACAGCCCCAAGAACCACCGCCCTTCTCCAGCGCACTTTGGTGATGGAGAGGAGTGCATGGTGATGAGGTTTCACAGGGATTCTCCTCGCTCTCTCAAGCCCTTACTCCTGCCTCCCAACCTGCAGTGCAGTAGTCCAAGCTGCCTCCCAGTATTGCTTCCACCCCACTTCCTCTGCACAGGCCCCTTTACACTGCAGGGAAGCAGGGAACAGGAGGGAGGGAAGGAAGAGAACCTGCACTTCCCTGACACCCCAGCCTCCACACCCCCAGGCAGACCCCAGCACAGAGCTGGTCATTTCTGTGCCCCCAGGGCCCCCCGCCCCCATTCTTGTCTCTGTCCTCTTCTCTAGTCCCACCTGACCCCAAGCTGCGCCACTTGCCCACTCTGCAGTGCCATGACCCAAGGCACTGTGGGGGGCCAGGGGTAGCGATGGAGTCTGCCAGGCACACCTCAGAGTTCAGTTGGAATGCTGAATGCATCCAGGCCTCAGAGAAGGGACTCGCAGGTCCTCAGTGGCGACATACTATTTGTAGATCAGGTCACGAAACTGTGTATACTACGCCGATCTGACAGTCCCCTGTACAAAACCAGTGCCAGGAAAGTGCCTTCTTTCTTTAGTTAATTCATAATAACTCATTGAACATGCTAGAACAGTCCAGAAACAGGCATGGGACAGGTACAAATCTGCATGGCCAGGATTGGGAATCTGGACAGACCGAAGAGGGTGGCTCTAGACATACATTTAGGAATTTTAGCACCTTTTTCTGCATTTCTACCTCTGAAAATCACATATGAATAGGTCATGTGAAAACTGAAGGGACCAGCAGATGACTAATACATGATCAGCTTTGTTTCATGAACAAAATGCTAGAGTTCTGAGTTATTTTAAGGCTGCAGTTTGAGTTGGGTGTTTTTTTTTTAATAAAATATGTGTGTAGAGGGCCCTCCCTGGTGGTGCAATGGGTTGAAGCACAGCACTATGAAACTATCGCCAGCACCTGCAGCACGAGTTCGATCCCTAGCTAAGGAGCTGACATGGCATGGCAGACCTCTCCTGACCCGCCCACTGCTCCCCTCAGCAGTGTACTTCGTCGATCTGCCTGTTCTGCTCCCCGCTCTGTCTCTGATGAATCCTCTCACCCCCCACCCCCATACTTCTGGCCTGTGACCTGTTCTTGTACGCATAAATAAATCAATCTTACACATATATATGTATGTAGGTAGGTATGTATGTATGTCTCTCTCTATATATGTGTATAATCTCTCGGCATAGTATATATATATGCTGAGTGGAGACAAGAAGCAGGGAGAAAATCCACTGAAGTCACCTCTCAAAATAGGGACAATTATCTTTGTCCTGGCCGTGGCATCTCAGGTCTGCTTGATCAAAGGACTTGCTGCCCTCTCTGTGCCTTGTCGCAGTGTAGGATGGAATGATAATGGCATCCCTCTCACACAGGAGACGGTTCACCAGCTGCATGGAAAGCATGTAGGGCAACGCCTGGCATGGAGTATGTACTCAATAAATGTCAGCTCTTGTCATTTCTTGGGTGGAGGGGGGGGAGGAATGGCAAATAATTCTCTCTGCTCGTCAAATATAAAAGTGTTCTCAGTGGTTTCTGTAAATCACTTTTCAATTTGCCTGTGGAAAAAACAATGTACATTATTTCAAGTAGACGTGTACATATTTTAAAACACTGAGTTTATTTTTAAAAACTAGCACAGTAAAAACTGCCACACAAATTACTTTATGCTATCAAGGATAGACACTCCTATCAGTTCAAGTGTAAACACATAACTCCCCAAATAAAAAACCTTTAATTCCCCTTGAAGCCTTTTAAATTCTGAGGGAATATAAAATGAAGCAGGAACACAGTAACATTAAACAAAAATCAATTTTGCACAAATAAGTGTGATCAAGCAGCTTAAATTATCACCTGAAATACTTGTACTTGAGAGAAAAATCCCAGATGACAACACTATGTGTGTCATAAAGATTCACATTACTCCATGGGGTGTGTCTCATGTCACTTGCTCTTCACATTTCACCAAGCCTCAGGCAAAAACACTGAGGAAAACTTCTTCCAGGC